CGTGTGTGTGTGTGTGTGTGTGTGCGCGGGCGTGCGTGCGTGCGTGCGTGCGTGCGTGCGTGCGTGCGTGCGTGCGTGCGTGTGTGTGTGTGTGTGTGTGTGTGTGGGGGGGGTCGGTGTGGGTGTGGGTGTGGGTGTGTGTGTATGTTTTCCCCCACAGTGTGTGTGTGTGTTTTTCCCCACAGTGTTTTTTTTGTGACCTCCAGGCCCCCACTGGGGAGACCCAATAAGTTACCGACGCCGCAGCTCCCCGGACCTCTCTCCTGGGGTGCGTTCCGACCAGAGCCTCGACGCGAGCCCAGGGGTGGCGACGAGGGCCTCCCGGAGGCCCCAAAGGGGAAACACGAGGGGAGGGTATCGGTAGGGGTACCTTTCCCTCCCTCCTAGTTGTAGTCGCCGACCCTTGGCGCCTCGCTGGTGTCTGGGCCCACCCCCCTGCAAATCCACTGCGCCCCTTGAGCACGGCCTGCGCCGTGAACGTTGCACACTTGTGCTTCCTCCAGCGGCCAGGGGACAGCACCACCACGAGTACCATGAGGCGGGGGGCGCGTAGTCCAAGGGCCACCTGACGTTGCAGATGGGGAGTCGGGGTGACAGCGGACGCCTGCGCAAAAGCGCGAGACCGCGAAGGCACGTGGAAAAAGCCGATGAGGCCATGCAGGTGTAGAGGCGCGCGGAGCACAGCTGACTGAAACGGCACAACCACAGTAGGAGCTCGACCACAAAAAAAAAACTCCACGAGAAGCTCAACCCTGAGACCCCAGGACGTCCATGGACTTTTGGTGTGGGAACGTCACGCTTTCCTTAGCATAACCATCCAAGCCCAAGAAACCCAGCGCACCCTGGAGGCAAGCAGGGTGTTTCTTGGCATGGGCTTCCACTGCACACTCACATAGACACCGAAACGAGGCCACCTCGCAAGCCCACGGGCACTGCACGGTGTGGAAATCTGGCAGGCCACTGAAGGGGGGAGGGTGTGTTCCTCACTCGCCGCTCGGAAGAGTTGGGTACAAGCAGGAAGTAGAGAGGCGCTGGGAGCCGAGTCGGCTGCGGACTGCCCCCTGCCTCGACAGGCGAAAGTGCCACCCGCTTCTTGCGATAGGAGACATCGCCCAACTCATGGTGGGATCCGGGAGTCCAAACATTCCGACTGCCAAGCAGCGATGCCTGGGAGGGCCCCGTCTGTCGTCAATCTCCCAAGCGGGGCGCCGCAGCCGACGCGAGGGTGAGGACCAGCTGACGCTGGCGTTTGAGCCCCACAAACCTCTTAGGACCTCCAGGGGGTAGGATCCCGAGCAGGAGGAAAATTTACCACGTCCACCATTCCCTCTGCTTCTCTTCCTCGTGCTTCTCCCCTCCTCCCCACCGGCCTTGCGAGGTTGCCTTGAATCATCACTTGATATGTCTGTGCAGGTCTGAGTGTGCGCGCACACGCATGATCTGATATGCCGCCTGACGTTAGCCATCGGTATATTAGGCGCGCTCTAGCTTAGCCGAATGGCACAAGCTGTTGTGTCCCCCTTGTTGTAAGCCTACGACCGCCGCCGCCAACGCGCGACTATGCTGAAGCCGCGATTTGATGTCCCCATCGGCAAGTGTGTTCGATGTTCGGCCGCCCATGACCGCGCGTGAGCTACCAAGGTGAGCCTACATATACGATATGCCCATATCTCTCCCTCCACGACTGTTTTTTTTCAACCCCTTTTTAAACATACCTGTATGAACGTATATGCATATATCTCTTATCAATCGTTATCTCTCTCCCCTCTGTCTCTCTCTCTCTCTCTCCCTCCCTCCCTCCGTCCTTCTTTATCTATCTGTGTCTCTCATTATCTCTTTCTTTCTCTCTCGCTCTGTCTCTCTTTCTTGTTCTCTCTCTCTCTCTCTTTCTCTCTCTCTCTCTCTCTCTCTCTTTCTCTCTCTCTGCATCCTGTTCCGTCACTCTCGAAACTCAGAAAGGATGGGACGCCACCCAGCTTCAGCGACCCATGCATGGCAGCCGGGAAGGGGATCAGAGGGAAGAGAGGGGGAGCTGGGAGGGAGGAGGGGAGGGATGAGGAGGAGGAGGAGCAGAGGGGCCGGGAGGCTCCCAAGCCTCCTGAGAAGGCCCGATCCTTCTTTCCCCCAGGGTTCGCCGCCGAGACCCTCTTTCACAACTCCAGACACCCTGCATCCAAACAGAAATGCCGACGTCTCGAGCAGGGGATCGACTACAGAATAACAATATGCAGAATGATCCTCACATCTACGAACAGTCTACATGCTTTCCTGAGTTCGACGATCGGAAACCAATTCATAGAGGGGGTGGATCAATTCTGTTGCCGACCCTCTGCTCGAACCTGTTCCTCGGATCTTACTTCCGCCGCCTGCCCGCCAGCCTTCCGCTGGCCTCCGCCCGCCGAAGGCCGCCGCCAGCTCACCCCCGCCTCCCATCCTCCCACAAACAAAAAAACAACAGCAACAAAAAACAATGTGTGTTGTGCTTTGTGTTTGTTTTTTTGTTTTTCCCCACAGACACGCCTTTCGCGCCGCGGCGCGGCAGAGGCAGTCCGCGCGCGCGCTCGTGCACGAGCCGGGCAAGGGCAGCGCGAAGGGCCCGGCTGCGAGAGGGGAGGGAGGGGGCAGCGAGGAGCGGCCGCGGGCAAGGGGGGGAAGGAACTCGGTGAAGAGCTCACGCAGCGGGGCCACGCCGTGAGTCCTTCCGCGCACGGGGCTCCGACCGAAAATCCCAACCCGCTCCCCAGGGCAGGCGCTCTCTCGGGAGCCGCTCTTGGACAGCCACGAGGCCCGGCGGGGGCCCTGGCGGGCCGACAAGGGCGAGCACGGCTCCCCCCCCTCCTCCTCCTCCTCCTCCTCCTCCTCCTCCTCCTCCTCCTCCTCCTCCTCCTCCTCCCTCCTCCTCCTCCTCCTCCTCCTCCTCCTCCTCCTCCTCCTCCCTCCTCCTCCTCCTCCTCCTCCTCCTCCTCCTCCTCCTCCTCCTCCTCCTCCTCCTCCTGTGATCCTGTGATCCTGTGGCGCAACTGTCCAGCTCCCTGAGGCTACACAGCACGCTGACGACGACAACGACGACGAAAAGAGAAGGCGGCAGCATTAGCGCGCCTCCTTGAACAGCTCGGCGGGGATGGGCCAGCTCCTCCCGAAAGACCTCCCATCGGACGGGTCCTTACCCTTCCTGAGGTCCGAGAGGCTCTGCTGGGCCCCCTTGTTGCGCGGTGTTCCGTGGCGCTGCGCCTGCAGGAGGCGGGCCCTCTTGGCACCAAAGGCAGCACACCTCGAGCACCAAACGATCCCCCCACCCCCCATCCACAGCTTATGGGCGCTGTGGGCATTACGTGCTATCCTGGGGAGACCGCTACACGGGGTCATACAAAGCCCAGTCCTGGAGTGAGACCTGTCACCACATCTAGGGCAGAAAAACCTTTGGAACTTCTGCCCCGACCTGCAAACCTCGTGCCCATTGGGGTCCGCCACCAACTCCAACAAAGTCGGTTTCCTACGGCCCCCAACTTTACACTTAGCAACATCAGGAAAACCCCCCTCCGAGAGAGCAAACAGGATCGCCCCTTGGAAAATCCCTATCTGCCTGACCTGCTCAGATAGGCTCATGTACTCAGCTTTGGCCCTGGGATTTGAGGGGTGAAGTTCGGCCCCTCCCCCGCAAGCCGATCAGCCTCATTATTTCCCTTCCACGCCCAGATGGGCATACCAGCTTCGAGAGCCTTCGTGAGGGACAAATGAGAACGGACCTTGCGGAGGGTAATATTTTCAACCCCATAGTCCTGAGCAATCTGGAAGATCCGAACCCATAATTCAGAATACGCCAATCTTTCGAAGTCCTGATCGGGCCCCTTGGCCCACACATCCACGACGAGCTGGCAATCCGAGGCGATTTCCACCGCACCGACCTCGAGCGATCTCAAGGCCATGAGAAAAGCATACACCTCGCCGCATCCCGCCTCCTGCACAGGGCGGGGGAGCGGGCCATACTTGGGCGACGCGACCACCGCGGCCTGGGGGCCCATGCACACGACCGCCCACCCCGCCCTGCTGAAGGGGAGGTCGGGATCCAGCGCTGACCCATCCAGACACATGCGGTGGCTCATGAAGCCTGCGGTGAAGCCTTGTCCCACTTCACATACTCGTGCTGGACTGGCGGTGGCCACTTCGCCTCTGGTGACACAGCAAGTCTACGCGTGAGGAAAAAGATCAGCACCTGGCTCAGCAGCTCTCTCCTGAAGCTCCTGAAGATCAAGGTGCCGTCTGAGCCCACAATGTGCAGGGCATCTGGAAAGACGGTGCATCTGTGCCCCAGGCTCGCCGAAGCAAACCTGGCACCTGAGATCAACTACCCGACGATCTTCATATAACACAGCTTGCGTAGGAAAGCCACCTGCAGCCAAGCCAGACAATAGCCAAGCCTTCTTATTACTCTGCTTGCTAACCTCGTTGCGATATTCCCTGCGCAGCTTAGCTATGGGAGCCACCAGAGGGAGCCCAGGAGACCCAAACATCTTCAAACCCACGCGGCTCCGAAGAAGGTCGTGGGTATCCTGAGTGATCAACTTGTGCAAGGACCTTTTACCGATAACGACCACATCAATCGTAAGCCCAGAACGTGTCTTCCAAAGCCTCCAGGAATCAGAGTACCACCCCAACCTCCTGAGCGTGAGTACTACTGCAGAGTCTGGGCCACGCACATCCGACCATGCAAGATTGGGGCAGCGCTCCGCCGCCTCGAAGCAACGGCGCAGCGTCGGCGCATCCACCCAGCCTTCCCTGGCGGCACGCGACCATGCAAGAAGAGGGAGGCGATTAGCATCAAACTCAGGATCAGCCTCTGGCACCGAAGACATCATACATTCCAGAGCACGGCTCCGACCTCGAGCAGCGCCGAAAGTAGCCGAGGCCAGGGAAGATCTCAGATAACGAACACGCCTGTCATCCAGACCTATGACCATGGCCCCATACATGCCCTGAGGGAGCGCCCCTCCTCTGATGACCTTCGTGAGCCCCTGGAACGAGCTGCGGAGGCTGCGAAACTTGGAGAGACGGCCCTTGATCTTGCGGCAGCGGGACCCCACGACAGCCCTGGACCTGCGACCCTCGGGCCCAATCCCAAAGTCGCATCCCAGATTCCTGGCAGCCGCAGGGGCGGTAAACTTCCATTTGCCCAGACGCTTGGCCAATCCACGGGCCGCCGAAGAACACGAGGATAAAACCTTGCCGTTCGACTCCGAGACAACCAGCAGTTGGCCCTCATACAGCCCACATAGGTAGGCCGTAGCATTCCCCAGACGCGTTTGGACCACCTTAGCAGCCCCTTCCATGAACAGCGTAATGTCGTCGACCACAATGAAGGGGACGGCGGACGGGAAGTGCTCGCGCACTTTATCCAAGGGAGACAGCAAACACAGCCTAGGCAACGTCGTCGCGAAGGGGCACCCTGCCAGGATGGTCTGCGCCACCTGCACCACGTCCGAGCAGATGCCAGGCAAGCTGAGGACCCGCGGCCCTCTATACTTCACGAGAAGCAGCCTGAGCCTGAAAATCGGAAAATGCCAAGCGACCGCGGCTTGCACAAGAAGGAAGTGAACCACTTTCTCATACGCCTTGGTGAAGTCTAGCAAGGTGAGCCCCGTGGTGAACCCCATGAGGTTGTGGTTCTCTACCGCTAGGCTCTGCTCCCAGACAGCCCTCTCACAATACTTACCTTTCACTCCGTAATGGTATGACCTAGGATGACGATCCTCCCAGTCAACAGCCTCATGTCTAGCAAGCTTGTGGAACACCCTGCTAACCCCACTCTCGATGCCGATGGGTCGGTAACGTCCTTCAGGCTTAGGAAGCTGAGCCAACAGGATGAGAGCGATGGCAGAGCTGAAGATGCCCGAGCACTCCTGCCAGTGCCAGAGCAGGGCGAGGCACTTGAGGGCCCTGTCCGAGAAATTGGCCAGCTCCCTGGGGTGCAACGTGTCACTACCTAGGGCCGTGAACCTCTTGAACTTAAAAGCCACTCTCCTGATGGCTTCAGGGTCGCGAACGGGAGGGCGCAGATCCTCGATGGAAACCCCACGCTCGCTGGCTTCCTGCTGCAGGAGGGTGGTGCAGTAGGCCACGGGGTCTGGCATGGCCTCCGACTTGGGTGACGGCTTCCAGACTCCCTTCCAAGCTTCCAAGAGCTCATCCACCTGCTGCCGAGGCCCAGGGGGTGGGGCCCCCTGGAGGCTAGTGGAGGGGATCCAACCTATGGAGGGCTTAGAGTACTTGTGGGCCTTACCAGCCCCATCCGAGACAGCTTCGGCAACCCAGGTCCTCCATTTTGCCCCTCGGTCCGACTTGACGGCGAGCTCCTGCTTGGTCGCGAGCTTGGTCGCCGCGCAGGACAGGCCGTGCCACTGCTTGGTGCTGAAGAAAACAGCACTTCCAAGGAAGGCAGCCAGCCTTGCCAAGCCGTGCAGCCCGCCAAGCAGGCCGGCCCCGTACAGAGCTTGTCAAGAATGGCAACCGGTTCATCGTCACCCCAAGCTTCCCCTTTCTTAGATATGTGGTGAAGTTCGTAAGCCCAATTAGCAACCTTCCTCCAGCCCCTAGATTCCGCCGAGCCCACAGGATAGGCCCCTCCTGACTTGCGCAGAGCAGGAACCCAAACAAACTTAGGCTGACGTCCACGGCCTCGAAACTTAGGGGCCTCCAAAGGGTCGATGGCGTGCGCCGAGATGAGTTCATCCTCAGCACGTTGAAAGAAGGCAATAAAAACCTGGTCCAGCTCGCTTTGCCCGCCACGCCGCTTCGCAGCTTCAATCAGATCAGACCAGTCTGGCGGCTCAGGGCGCGGACCAACGGGTAGCACAACAGGAAAAACACGAAGACGCTTCAGCATACGTACCTTCTCCTTCAAGGGGTCTCCTGACAAGGTGTGCAGCACTGGCCAATGTGTCTTGATGCATGCGTCTTCGTGCCTGGCAATCTTGTGGCAGACCCCGAGAAGAGCACGGCTGACCACGAAGAAATCGATAGTCCTCCACTTGTGGCTGGTAGACCTGCACGTAGGCTCAGCCGTTCTCACCAGAGCACCTCCTAGCCTATCTGGCCAGTTGGAAGCTTCAAGATCCTCTGGAGCGCGGTTCCAATCAGCCCCAATGATAAAAGGAATGCCCAAGCCAAACAGATACTCCCCAAGACGCGCAAGCAAGTGGCTGCCCTCTTGCCCCAGCGGGTCCTGGCCCCACAGGTACAAACTGACAGCGATAAAGCCCCCAGGAACAAAACTGTTGACATGCGTCGCCAGAACCCTGTGAGGACTGGGGAGCGCCTCAGCCAAGTTGGGGGCCTTACCCATGCCGATGTGCTTCCTGACCGCGATGCCGACCCCAGACGATAATCCCCCTTGATCCGTGACCACCGAAGGGCTAAGAGCCAGCTGCCAACCGTGAGCCTTCATGGTGTCCTCTCGAGCCTTCTGGGCATCCGCATCCGCGGCCACCTCCTGCAGGAAGACCACAGACGACTCGGCCTCATTCGCGAGAAACTCCTGAAGGGAAGACCATGACGTGGCATTGCACGTCTCCAACACGAACTCCCGAGTCCTGCGAGATTTCCTCTTGGAGAACTTCTGAAGGGAGTCCGAAACTGCACAACTGGGGCTGGGGTTTCTCGGAGGGGGCAGGCCAACAACTTGTGGCGACTCACAGGCGCACGTGAGACCTGCAGCACAATCGGGGCCCCTCGCAGCATTACTACTCGCCGAAGGGAAGCCACCCGTCTGAACACTAGCCTGGTAGGGGACCTCAGAAGCTCTACCGCTGGCCTTGAGGACCCCACCAGCAACAGGCGACTCGAGCGCGCGAGCCAGGCCCCAAGCTCCAGCCTGAGAGCCCTCAGATGACGACATGGAAGGACCCGATGGTGGAGAGGCTGACGAGCAGCGCCAGCGAGAAGCCGAAGGAAACGAGTGTGGGGCCACTCCAAGATCTGCTTCGTCCCCAGCGAGATGGAGACCACCAGGAAATTGGACCCACTGCACGGCGAATGAACCGAAACGCACCACTCCCGCCTGTGGCGACTGGGGAACGTGACGGGACCCCGCATACGGGGGCAATGAACATGACCAACTGTCTATCGAGTCCGCGCGCGGCAAGTAGTGGGGACGAGAGAAGGAGGCCGTAGCAGAACTGCTTGGCCCCCAACGCGAGCATGTCCAGGACCCGCTCGCAGAAGAACATTCGGGAGGCAAGCCGTGCCCCGAAGATGTGGCGCTCTCTGCCCACCATACTCGCACCGATTCACGCCCTGGGGGTCCCTCTGGGCGGTCCCAGCCCCCAATGGACACTGGCCTACCCAGGGTTTCGTCCGAGGGGTGTCTCAGTGGTCTCATGGTGGGTGAGTATAGCGACCCAGACGAAGTAGCCCAAGCCGCTGCACATGGAGCTGTCGAACTGCCCGAGCCTGCCATGCTAAAGCCCCGACACTCCAGCGTGCACCAGGCGAGTAGCGGCAGCGCAGTCCTTGGCCAGGTCTTCCACACCGCCGTCGGCTGGAGAGTGCAGACCTCCCCGGCCTGCCAGAGCCACGGCCGCGGCGACCGACTCCTGAGACGGTGCCTGGGGTGGAGGTGGTGCGGGCCTTGCAGCAGCTGCCCCCTCACGTGCTTCATTATCAGCGTCGCCTTCAGCAGTCGGAACGTCAGCCCCCGCGGGGGCAGCACCTGACACCTCATGCACACGCCGTCTCTTGGACAGCATGCGCTGCTTGAAGGCCTTCTGCTCCGCCACCAGCTCCTGAGCGCGCACACGTACCGCCCCGAACGCCTCGGCGACCGCACGCCTGATGGTCTGCTCCACCTCCTGCTTCCGCTTGGCCACCACTTTCTCGGGGTCGGTGACCTCGACGCCTTCAGCTTCCAAGCCGAAGAGCCCGTCGTCCTCGAAGATCTCAAAGGATTCTCCGTCCAGCAACTTCTCCAGACTGAGGCCGTGGCGCGGCGCCTCCGCCTGAGCTGCTGGAGGCGCCGCCTGGGGCACCTCCGACGCGAGGAGCTTGACCGCCTGGTGGTACTTGTCCTGGCAGGCCTCGAACTCCCGCATGGCTTGCACCGCAGCCTTTTGAGCTTCAGCCAGCTGGCATTGGAGGTTCTCGGCGACACGTACACGCTTCTCCAAATGCTGCCTGGCCTCCCGCATGGCATGCTGGCACACACCAACAGTAGGCGCCCGCGGCCCCGCTTTCTGCAGCCTGTCGATGTAGGACGCATACACCGCCGCCTGAGCCGAGTCTCCCAAGCTCTGGAAATTCTCCTGGATGAGGCGAAGCTTGGGGATGTCATCCTTCGAATATTTCGTCCAAGCATCAGCATGCTGGCCTCCGCCTTGGGCAACCCACCCCGAAGCCTGCAGCTGCAACCCCGACGGGAGGGTCGGCTGCGGGGTGGGAGCCGCAGCCGCTTGCCCTTGGAGGCCAGCAGGCTTGGGCCAGGCTGCGGGATCCACCCCTTTGCCCTTGCCTGCCTTGCCTCCCTTGCGCCCCGCAGCCGTCGCCTCCCCTTTCCCCTGAGGCTGATCGCCGTGAGACGGGAGCGACCCGAGCGGAGGTAAGGCCCAGACGCCGCCTGCAGGTCGATGGGCTGTCGGCTGGACATATGCGAGCGGCTCGAGGCAGTGCTTGCAGAACCAGTAGTGCGACAGATTCTTCTTGCATCCGCAATGGGGGCACGGAGCCTTGGACAACTCCGCACCTCCACTCTTAGGCTGGTGCCCCACCCACGTCCACTGGCGAGGGTCTCCTTTCGCATCACGCATACCAGGCTGGCCGCGACGAGAAGAGCCCATCGCAAGGACACAGGGAGGTACCGTACGAGGGAAATGTTGTAAAAGTATGTATGCTCCAGCAGGAGCTCACAAAGGGTGCTGAGGCCAGAAACTGGCCGCAGGATCACGGGCGGGGGCGCGCCTCCCCCACGCCAAATGCTCCAGTCCTGAGCGAAACACTACGGACTTGAGCCAAAATGGCTACGGACTCCTCCTCCTCCTCCTCCTCCTCCTCCTCCTCCTCCTCCTCCTCCTCCTCCTCCTCCTCCTCCTCCTCCTCCTCCCCCCGCTGCCGAGCCTCAGGACAAAAGATGTAAGCTGGGGGCCGGGGGGCGCGCCGAAGGCGCGGCCCCCTCCCCCGGAGCTGGCCCTCCGCGGCGGGAGGAGGCGCGCTGGGCAGATGCGCGCCCGGGAGGGGCGCACACTTGGGCGCCCGAGTTATCCGGGGTAACTCGGGTCCGGGGTAACTCGGGTTTGGATTCCCAAAAAAGGAACCCGAGTTAGCCCTGACCCGAGTTACCCCTGATGATTCGGGGCTCTGACACACGCCGTTCGGAATTGGTGGGCAGAAGCGTGGAGCGGACGGCGGACCAAGCGGATCGGGTTCAGGCCCTCCCAGGAGGCAGCAAAAGACACAGCAGACGCGCACATCGAGTCTTGGGATCAGGGACCAAGCAGATTGGGTTCGGGCCCTCCCAAGAAACGTCCGACTTTTCCGTCGGCGGCGAGGCGGAGGCGATCCGCACCAGCGCCGGGCGAATCGGGGGCACCGGTCGGCAGATGGTCCGGCGTGCAGGAGGACGAGAGGGAGAAGAGAGCGGCCGCGCGGGGGGAGAAGGATGTAGGCACCCAGACGGAAAACATCCAAACACAGCAGAAGCATATCGATCGAGTCTTGGAATAGTAGGAAGGCGTCTAATAGATCAGGATTTGAGCGTCCAAGTATACCTACTTCCAGCGACCAGCATGTCCGCAAAAAAATGGGCGCGATGCCCAAGAACAAATGTTGCCCCAAACCGGCACAGAGTCACGGAAAACGGCCCCAAAATACACTGTCGGAGGTCCACGCGGATTTCTCGGGTCGGCGCCAGAGGCGGCGCGAGGGGGGGGGGCCAGGCGCCGATTTTCTTCTTCGGTGACAGCGGCCGCTGCTGGGCTGGCAGTTTCTTCGCCTCCACTGGACAGCGTCCGCGGCGACACCGACAGCGCGTACTGCTCAAAGTGGGCAGGAACTGTTGTCGGTCGTCGTCCATTGTGTGGTAACTCATGGGAGCCTCCCATGTCATTTTGCTGGCTCTTGCGAACCGACGCTAGCCGACGCCAGTCGACCCTAATCGACGCTGAATCGGCGCTCGATCGATGTTTCGCGACGCTAAGTCGACGCTTGCACGCTAGTATGCTGAATCGGCGACCCTGATCGACGCTGAACCGGCGATTTCAAAACGCTAGTGCACGCTAACGCACTGTAAAGACGGAAGTGTGAGGACATACAGTTAAAACTAACAGTAAGGGTGCGCGATACGGATGTAAGCCCCTTGGACGAGCATGTGAAGGCTCTTCGAGCGGGACTGGCCATCGAAAGTGGTTGAGGATGG